GATGGGGTGATCTGGGTCAAGTGAGCGGCGACCTGTTTTGTAGTCAGGCCTGAGGGAAGGAAGGTCCAAGGCTGCCGGGCCTTGTTCCTGTAAGTGAATGGCCCCGTAACTTGATGGCACTATTTGGCACCCTGTTGAGTACCTTGTGCTCCCTGGATGGGGTGATCTGGGTCAAGTGAGCAGCGACCTGTTTTGTAGTCAGGCCTGAGGGAAGGAAGGTCCAAGGCTGCCGGGCCTCGTTCCTGTAAGTGAATGGCCCCGTAACTCAATGGCACTATTTGGCACCCTGTTGAGTACCTTGTGCCCCCTGGATGGGGTGATCTGGGTCAAGTGAGCGGCAACCTGTTTTGTAGTCAGGCCTAAGGGTAGGAAGGTCCGAGGCTGCCGGGCCTCGTTCCTGTAAGTGAATGGGCTCTGTAACTCTTATGGCACTATTTGGCAGCATGTTGAGTACCTTGTGCCCCTAGGATGGGGTGGATCTGGGTCAAGTGAGCGGCAACCTGTTTTGTAGTCAGGCCTAAGGGTACGAAGGTCCGAGGCTGCCGGGCCTCGTTCCTGTAAGTGAATGGCTCTGTAACTCTATGGCACTATTTGGCAGCATGTTGAGTCCCTTGTGTCCCCTGGATGGGGTGGTCTGGGTCAAGTGAGCGGCAACCTGTTTTGTAGTCAGGCCTAAGGGTACGAAGGTCCGAGGCTGCCGGGCCTTGTTCCTGTAAGTGAATGGCCCCGTAACTCGATGGCACTATGTGGCAGCATGTTGAGTACCTTGTGCCCCCTGGATGGGGTGATCTGGGTCAAGTGAGCGGCAACCTGTTTTGTAGTCAGGCCTAAGGGAAGGAAGGCCAGAGGCTGCCGGGCCTTGTTCCTGTAAGTGAATGGCCCCGTAACTCTATGGCACTATTTGGCAGCATGTTGAGTACCTTGTGCCCCCTGGATGGGGTGGTCTGGGTCAAGTGAGCGGCAACCTGTTTTGTAGTCAGGCCTAAGGGTACAAAGGTCCGAGGCTGCCGGGCCTCGTTCCTGTAAGTGAATGGCTCTGTAACTCTATGGCACTATTTGGCAGCATGTTGAGTACCTTGGGGAAGGAAGGCCAGAGGCTGCCGGGCCTTGTTCCTGTAAGTGAATGGCCCTGTAACTCTATGGCACTATTTGGCAGCATGTTGAGTACCTTGTGCCCCCTGGATGGGGTGGTCTGGGTCAAGTGAGCGGCAACCTGTTTTGTAGTCAGGCCTAAGGGTAGGAAGGTCCGAGGCTGCCGGGCCTCGTTCCTGTAAGTGAATGGCTCTGTAACTCTATGGCACTATTTGGCAGCATGTTGAGTCCCTTGTGTCCCCTGGATGGGGTGGTCTGGGTCAAGTGAGCGGCAACCTGTTTTGTAGTCAGGCCTAAGGGTACGAAGGTCCGAGGCTGCCGGGCCTTGTTCCTGTAAGTGAATGGCCCCGTAACTCGATGGCACTATGTGGCAGCATGTTG